CGTAGCTGGTTAACGTTTGCACTTGTACCTGTTTTTATCGTGCCAGTTAAATTATTTATTGGCTTAGTTGTGTATTTATTTAATTCACGCGCGTTGAGACTGCTTTCAGGTGGCGGCTGAGCTGAGACCTGTGCAGTTGGAAGCTGGGCGAGGTGTGTGATTTGAGGTTACAGGGAACAGGGTGATATCCCCTGTACGTACTCTGCAAGGCCCCGTTTGTGCGGTTCTGCACGGCCTCCTTGGCTGCCTCTCAGTTGCTGCTCTTCACCTGTGAGCAGTCTCTCAGGTAAGAGATGGCACGGGCATCCATCTCATCCCTTCTGCCTGTGGATGTGGCCTCAAGGGCCGTGGAGCAGGAGGAAGGGTTGAGTGTCCTGCACAGCAGGCCCCTGCCTCTCCCAGAGAAGCCTCCAGTGGAACAGCAGCAGGACTGTGCTGTTTGTGCTTTAGAGCTGCAGACAGCCGCTAGAAGGATCCTCAGCAGCATGCCGCCTGAGATAACTTTATTTTCTAGTGAAGTCACACTTCTAGTAGGTTGGTTTTGAAGTATCCTGGCAGAAAGCTCTACTGATGTTTGAACTGTTGGGGTAGGACATTACGTGCACGGAGTATTCAGAAGACAGAAGAACAAGCACTTAGCTTGTGAAGTTGGAATACAGTGTGCTGCAGTGACAGATACCTGCCTGGTCAACTTGTAGAGCAGCTGAGTCTTGCAGCGATGCTAGGATACTGAAATGTAGTAGCTATGGAGTACAGCTAAAGAGAAGCTGAAAGTACAGTTAAGAGTAGCTAAAAATTGTCAATGTCTTTGTTCTGAGTGGGATATAACTTTAAGATGGTAGCATTTTAGGTGAATTAACTTTCTTAGACTCTTCAACTCAGAAACAGAGCCTAGGTCTACTGATGAGCCTGCTTTCCTGCCTACTGGTGTTATGCCTTCCAAAGCAGATGTGTTAATCCAGCTTTTCCTGCTCTTTTAGGCCCTTAATAATGGGGAACACAAGCAGCGAGCGGGCTGGACTGGAGCGTCATGGGCATAAGGCATCCCGAGGTGACAATGCAGGAGGAGCTATCAGTACAAAAGAGGGTGATAGACCAAAAATTTTAATGGACAGTCCTGAAGATGCAGACTTGTTCCATTCCGAGGAAATGAAGGTATTGCTGGTTTGTTCTTCTCTTCTAACATTACTAGCTTGGGAATGCTGTTTGGTTTTGCTGCTGTCAGCAACCTGGAGTAATTCTGTCGTTGACTTTACACACAAAACAACCATGTCCCTTGCTTCCCACACTAAGGAGAGATATTGCATTGATGTTCAAGCAGATATAATGAGTGTAATGTTATGGTTTGCAGCAAGAATTAATTGTAGAAAAACTAAAATGTAACTGGCTCAAAGCTCTTCCCCAGTTCTAGGTACAGTGCCCCAGCTTCTTTCAGATCCTTAATGTTATTGGAGTCACCAGTGATATTTTACCTGTCTATTATTTTCCATTTTAAAAGATCTGTTAACTGGATTTTTGTTTAGTATTAGGTGGATTGTTAGAAATGTCTTGCTGTGTATCGTGTTTCATAAAATGTCTAACAGGAGTTTGCACTTAGATTTTTGACTGTTGGACAAAACTGTCTCTTACAGACAACTCATAATTTTCTGCCAGCTACAAATTTTGTGTCTACAGTATTTGTACAATCTAAATGCTTTTTAAGTGTATTTCTTCTTAATTATTTTTCTTCTTCTTCCTCTGTCTGTGTATTTTGAAAACTCTTGTGAGCTCAAGTTATCTCTCTTTAACATAATTTAGGCTGGAGGAAGGGGGATTGTTTTGCCTTCCACTCTTCCTGGAAATTTGGAAGGCTTTAACATCTTTGCAGAATTTGTGCAAATTAATTTGTGTACAGCATCCGGAAATGCAGTTTCTAGTCTCTACCAGACAAAAACTACTTGTAGACTTGTACCTTAGAGAATCCTGTCTGCGTGCAAAAATGCCTTCAGTGGAATATAGGTTGTCTTAAGTCTGCCGGGAGAGAATTCCTTTTGATTAACATATTGTGCTTTGTAGGCTCCATTGGAGAAAGAAGAATTCCTAGCTTGGCAACAAGATCTGGAAGTGAATGATAAAACTCCTACTCAAGCTCGACCAACAGTCTTTCGCTGGACTGGAGGAGGGAAAGAAGTTTATTTATCTGGGTCCTTCAACAACTGGAGTAAAATTCCTCTGACAAGGAGGTAATAAACTGTTGCTGCTGCATCCATGATATTCCCCGTGGACTGGGAATGCTGAGTGCAGTGAGAAAGGTGGTCACTTGATAGACTTGTATTGTGCTTGGATTTACCACTTTCCTGCTTCTCTTCTCAAGCCCTTGATGAGGATCTGACTTTTTGAGTCTTGGGTGGCACAGGATGAAAGTTGAGCTGTGTGTCAATTTTGAAGAAGTGATTTGTTCACAAGGCACTGTGCGTGAATGACCCGAAACAATCCTTGTGCAGTCTGCTACTCGGGGCAGAGTTGGACTATGTAAGGTGAAGCTGGTTTTAAGCCTAGTGTCCAAAGCATGTGTACTTTCTTGCCATATCATTGGCTTTTGCCCGGCTCAAAGGGTCCAGATTCTGCTTAGGAAACTCTGAGTCTGGGATACCTGCTGGTAAACTACATGAACGAGAGAATAAATCTGCGTTAAGGTACCAAGTGCTTTTTCCTTCTAGGGAGCTCTGGACATCTGCTTAATTCTGTACCTAATAAGTAATTCATTTAAACTAATGTTTTTTCAAAAATTTAAAACTTAACAGATGGCAGAGAGTCTGAATTTAGCTGTTGATCTGAGCCCTGTTGTGTGTCAATTTGACATATCCATGAAAGGTTGGTCTTCTGCCAGTTTCTGGTGTTCCTCATCTCAGCGAGTGGCTACTTGCATTGTCATTGTTGCAGAAACGTGAGGCAGGAGCATAGTGGCCTGAGGAATGATATGGGAGGATTGTTCCGTGCATGAACAATGGGATCAAGTAGAAGAGTTCATTATTCCAAACTGAAATTTCAAATCCAGCTCTGTGCTTGCACTCCTTACCTGAAAATAAGTGAAGGGAGATACTGGCCTTGTGTGGCCTGTTTGAATTACTCACAAATGATTAACTGTTTCTCAGCTTCTTTGAGATGCTTGTAAGGATTTCTGAAGAATCAGGAAGCTCACAGCATGGGAGTATCAAAATTACCAAGTGGCAGCTATTCAGACCCAAAGTAACTCATAAGTGTTGAGTTGCCGCTTTCATCTTTCAGTCGTTGTTCATTTGTTTCATAGGTATTTGTGAAATGCAATTTATGATGGCAAATAATGAAAGGAAATAGGAGTAAGCTGATCTTGTTCTATCAACAGGAGTCTTGCAGATAAAATGAGGTCTCCTGTACTAACAAGTAACATGAAGACGTGGGGATGACTTTACAAAAGCTCAGTGCTAATTCCTTGATGCCAGGAATGTGGGTACTGATTTGGCATGTGTGGGGAATTACTGTCACAGAGGAAATTATCATTAACGTTAACCTTAGTTTGATTCTTTACCTTTAGATTGCATCAGAGACTCTCTTACACGTGGCATTGCCTTTTTAAGTTTTTCCATGTTAGGGAGGCTTGAATTCTGTGTTACGGTGTTTGTTACCGTTTATAGATTGATGAACTTTTCAGAATATTTCAAGGCTGATTCCTTGTCTTAAATTCCAGTCACAATAATTTTGTGGCAATCCTGGACCTGCCGGAAGGAGAGCACCAGTACAAGTTCTTCGTGGATGGGCAGTGGACGCATGACCCTTCAGAGGTAATGTTTCCTTTGATTCACTGTGTTTATTCACTGAGGCATCTGAAGATGAGAAACTGGCTGGTTTCTCTACCAATAGCTGGCCTTTCCAGAGAGAAGGAGTTGGTTAGCAACAGAAACTGACTGTTTAAGCTGGTGAGAGAGAGATTTCTGATCCCAGCTGGCCTAGGTGGCGGCATCTGACTGACAGCCTAAAAGGACAGGAGATTTTGTAACAAGTGGGTGACAAGTTCTCTCGGGTATTGGTTTGTAAGAGATGGCGAGCTTTTCTTGTCTGGTGCCAAACTGTCTTTTAAAGCACTGTGGCATTGCTGACAGCCCACATCTCTCTGTGCGGTACTTGCTCTCTGTGCCAGAATGTTGCTGTTGCTGCTCTAGATCTCTTCATAGTCCAGTAATTGTACCAAAATCTATCAGGTCTTTCCTTTCTCCTCTGCTGTTAATGAGCTTTAACCCTAGCCTGCCCAGCAGTCCCTACCTGCTTCAGAACTAATCATTCCCAGATGTTGGTTCTAGTCTTCTTGCTGTCCTGGCAAACCTTGCAGAACCTTGCAGAATTTACCTTGCAGTAAATTTAGCTCTTGGAACCCTCTGCCTTGGATTCTAGTCATAGCTTGGCTCTGAAAGCCCTATAGATGCTAGAAGTAAAGCTTAGCTCATGCCATCACTGTTAACTCTAGACTGAACCCAATCCTAGCCCTATCTGTAGCCGAAGAATTTGTCAAGTGCTGTGGACCTAGCAGGTTCAACTGATGGGCATCCTCCTGGTTCTAAATCCTACGCTTGCTCTTAACCTGACACTAACTGAGTAATGGTGAGAATGGGGAGCTCTTTTCATATCTGGTACTAGCATATTTTAAAAGCAATGTATTTCATTCTTGGTAATGCTGTTGGTGTAGTTTTGAGAATCTAATAGTTGTGCAAGCTTTGACTTTTGTATCTTGTTTCTTCCCAGCCAGTAGTAACCAGCCAGCTAGGTACTGTCAACAATATCATTCAGGTGAAGAAAACTGACTTTGAAGTATTTGATGCTTTGATGGTGGACTCCCAGAAATGTTCAGACATGTCTGGTAAGAGTTTCCTGGTAATTTTATATCACACTTTTCAGAGCAGAGCAAAAATCCATCTTCCTTTTTTTCTGGAGTTAAAGCTCCTGTATAGATTAATCTCCACTTTTGTCAGGCACTGTGGACGTGTGCAGGAATCACAAATGCACAAAGGAAGAATGTGGAATGCACAAAGGAGGAAGCCTCTGATAGAGCAACACATGTCACTGTAGATCTGATTAGGAGGAAGCCATGGGTGGGTGTTTAATAGCTGTTTGCCTGTGCAATGTGAAATGGCTGGTTTTACGGCACTCAGTGGTGGATTAGTCTCCACCTTACAATATCAAACCAATGTTGACAGTCTCTGTTGCTCCTAATTCCATCTTCCTCTGCTGAGGAGATGGGCTGAAGAGCTCAGAAGAGGCAGAAATTAGGTGCACCTCAGTAGTGCTGACACAGGCTCAGAAAACAGTTTACTGTAAATTATCTGAATCTTAGAATAATACAAAAATGCTATTTTTGTCCTAAGTTTCATATTCTAGTGTAGCAGAAGAGAGGTGAGATTTAGCTTGAGTCGTCTTGGAGATCAGCCTTGGCACCTTGGTAGAGATGGAGACTGTGATTGAAGTAGTACCCTAAATCCTCCTTCAGAAGAGCTGTCCTTTGAATCTGAGCCAGAAGGTGTGGTTTGGTTTTTGCTCTATGCAACTTTGCCCTGGACAAGTGTTTGCCAAAAGAGTGCTGGGCAGTGAAGTTCTGGAGTGCAGCGAGTGCAGTAGAGCCCTCAGAACTCTGCCTTCCAAATCTTGATAGCTAGTCTCAAGTCAGTCAGACTTTGGACATCTTAAATCACTTTTTGGGCAGGACGTCTGGCACTGCATCAGCTGCTGCGGTTCTTGCACTTACATGCTATTGATTTCTTATGGCCACATGTTCCTGGATGTGAAAATCAACTTGGAGTACCGGTAAAAAGGTACCTACAAAGAGCAGATGCTCTTACAGGCCGTTTAAGAATAAATATTTAACATCTCTCTGGCAGAGCTGTCGAGTTCGCCCCCAGGACCGTACCACCAGGAGCCTTATGTTTGTAAGGCAGAGGAGCGCTTTAAATCACCACCTATTCTTCCCCCCCACCTGCTGCAGGTCATCCTGAATAAGGACACCGGCATTTCTGTGAGTACCTTAGTTTGTTTTGGTGAATAATGACATTGAGGGCATGAACAGATGGGGAAAAAATCTGGGTACAGCCAGGGCACAGGCAAGGAAAACCCTTAGAATTGTTGCCATGTTGGTAAATTCCTTTTTACCTATGTCCAGATGGGTCCGTCTGAAGTAAATTTATTTTTCTACTTGACTCTCTTAAAATTGAAAACTAGACGGCTATTTTACTCCCAGAAACCCTAATCTTGCCACTGCAACACTATTAAAATGTCAGAAGCACATAAGAAATAACGGAGATCTGTTTCAGGATCGCAGCAAGGATGCAGAGGGTTTGACCCTGGCGGAATCTGGGATTGTTCAGAGACTTTGTCTCCATTTGTTGATGGACTCGGTGTAAGAAGCAGCGTGGTGTATTTGAGGGAATGGCTAGTTACAGACGGTGTTTATCACCCATCAGCTGTGATGAGTAAACTGTGAGTTCTGTTATTTTCACACTGTCTCACTTTCTCTTTTCCAGTGCGATCCTGCTCTACTGCCTGAACCCAACCATGTCATGTTGAACCACCTCTACGCACTTTCTATCAAGGTGAGAGGCCAGGGCATGTTCTTCACACTCGCAGCTTTTAGATAACCATGTTTCTCACTTGTTTTCTATCTCCTGTAGGATGGAGTGATGGTGCTTAGCGCTACGCATCGTTACAAGAAGAAATATGTGACTACTTTGCTGTACAAGCCAATATGAGCATCATAGTAGTTTGTGACCAATTGTTCTGGGCCAGTGCAGTCTCAGAAAAAAAATTATTCTTAACCAAATGTATTCCTGCTCTGTGCTGTAGCAAATGGACTCTGGTTTCATATTGTTTCTGAGACTTCCAAGTTCTCCTGTATTTGCCCTGTTTTCCCAGTCCCACCTTGGAAGTTCTTGGAGATGGCAGCTTTGTGGCAACCAGACAGATGGCAAAGGTGTCAGTGCCCGTTCTCAGCTCAGTTCAAAAGCCACCAGTCTAGTTAGGCTGAAAAACATGAGGGCAGCAACAGATTGAGACCTTTAGCAGTGAGGCAGACTGTAAGTAGTAAACAACCAGCCCAAAGTCTAGAAAGTTCAGGATTCTTGTGGAATCTTATTTGAGCTCATCACCCAGAAAAAGCAAGCCCATTACTGCTTTCATAACTCGTCCAACACACAATTACTTCAGTGGCAAGTTCTAAACTTGCATGGCTGAAATAAGTGTGAATATTGATGATCTTTTTGCAGCAGCCTTTTCTAGGCAAAATCAGCGGAACAATCACCAACAGGCTCATTTTTATTTTACGGTAGACTGGGGTGCACTGTTTCTACTGTGAATAGCTCTGTAGTTTTTCTCTTCGTGAGAACTGAAACACAACTTTTCCCCTGTGGAATTTCTGGTAAAGACATTTGTTTTTAATGGCTGGATTTTTCTGTAAATCATAAATGTATTTTGCAGTAATCTGCTTTTTGAAACCAGTTTCTCCTGCTGTCCCTGGTAAGGACTTCCTTAGGTTGGGATGGGTAGCTGTGAGGAAATCCATGTATTCGGATTAGGGATTAGTTCTTCAGTGACAGCCTGAAGGTGACTGTAAGTCGCCTTTATTGCAGTGGCCAAACTTGCCCCGTGGTTAAGGAGTTGCACATGCTGGGCAGCACTGCACCTCCTGCGCCCAGGGCAAGAGCTGGGCCTCCGCTCCAGGTTGCAGCATTGACCACAGGAATAAACCCCCTGGTGCTTCTGCAGCCAGGGCTGTGGGCATCTCTGCAACTTTTTATTCTATTTTCTAAGTGATTTTAGTAACACCAGGTTGCCTGTACTTGGTACTCACAGCCTGTTTTATCCCAAAACAAACGCAACGTTAATGCAAAACTGCCTGCCAGCATGCCTCGGGCCGCCCTGGGGGAGCCAGCTCGGGAGCTGACCCACTGTGTCCTTCCTGCTGTTTGGTTTTTTGGTGCCTGAGAGTGCCAGTGACTGTGCCAATGATAACCAGCCCCGGTCTGGCGGTGGGGCAGAGCACATTGCACAAATCGGTGAGGAGTTTGAGTGGGGACAAAAGCTGCAGCAGCCAGCGTTCAGTGGAACCAGCCACAGAGGAGGGGTGGTTTGCCATCCTCGGATCTGTTCGCTAGTCTTGTTGCAAAATCCTGAGTAGCTCAGTACATCTGGGTCCAGTGCAATGGTTTTTTTTGAAAACTTTCTTCATTCTGTGCTATGGATAGTATTTGGTATTCTGAAATATAGAATTGCTTTTGTTTTCAGCCTCTTTAGAAACAAATAAAACATTTTCAAGAAAAGTGGGTGACTTGCTTTGTTATTATGCTTCCCATCTTTGGTAACCTCAGCATCCTTGCGTTGTTATTTTTTTATAACCTGTGATTGCAGTTTTATGCCTTGGGGGATTGTGCAAGCTTTTCATTCATAGATGCAGCTTGAAACGCTTTGTCTGCTTGCAGTTAACTGGTGAAGAAGACAAGGGAGGTGTTAGCGGGTGTTTGTGATGTAAAGTTTACAGCAAAGACAAGAGTCCAGATACTGGCAGGCTCCAGTGATCAGTTCCTTAGGGCTGAAAAACTCAAGTCTTGGCCTTAAGCTTCCTGTTGGCTTCTCTTTGTTCAGCCAGACACTCTTCAAGCAGACTTTTTTTTTTCCCCCCAGGCCTGTCTCTTTGGCAGGGTGTGATGGCAGTTGGATATGGTTTGTGTGTCACAGGTACCCCAGGTGTGGAGTGGGATGCGGCTGTGCAGTGGGACAGCCTGCACTGTCTGTAGTATCCATTAACTTCGTGTCAGGAGGGCGGGGAAGAGGCTGTGGCGGGGGGCGGTGTAGAGGTTCCTTTTAGCTTGAGCTGTGGTTTTGTCAGGGCAATGAAAAAAAAAAAGATGCATCAAAAGCAGACAAGGGAGAGTGGATTGGAACAGTTAACTGATGGGATGCGGCTGTGCAGTGGGACAGCCTGCACTGTCTGTAGTATCCATTAACTTCGTGTCAGGAGGGCGGGGAAGAGGCTGTGGCGGGGGGCGGTGTAGAGGTTCCTTTTAGCTTGAGCTGTGGTTTTGTCAGGGCAATGAAAAAAAAAAAGATGCATCAAAAGCAGACAAGGGAGAGTGGATTGGAACAGTTAACTGATTGAACAGGAGTCAGGGCAATGAAAAAAAAAAAAAAGATGCATCGAAAGCAGACAAGGGATAGTGGATTGGAACAGTTAACTGACTGAACAGGATTGCCTTTTGTTGACATGTAAACTCGGTCAAGAACACCTAGAAGGTTAAGTGCAGAAGTATAGTCTGGTAGATAGATGTGTGCCCACAGCCATTCTTTGTCGGTTCCCTGCCATAGAGAAACCTGATGCTTAAATAATATTAAATAATGATGTTAAATAACTGGCTTCTCCTTCCACAGCAGCATCAGTGAAGGTGGGCCGTGTCCTGCTGTCCTGTAGGGCCGCGGCAGTATTGCGCAGAAGCGGTGTGGTGGGGGTCTTCTGTGACATGCTCTGCTGCTGGCATGGTAAAAGTGGTGATGGTCTGCTAGCTACCCGAGCTGTTTAGTGAGCGGAACGAGGGCTCGGGGCCTGCAGCAGGAGGAGTTGTGCGCAGGTGAGCCCTGGTGTGCTTGTGTCTCTGCTTGGCTCCGGCGTGTGCGCAAGGGCTGCGAGCACTTGGACAGGCACCATGGGCCAGGGCACCGGCAGTCGGTGCTCCTGGGTCTCATTCTGGGGCTGTGCGCTGCAGGGTGCCCAGGACAGGTTAAATGCTGTGGAAGCAAACTCGGTGCAGCATTTGTGCAGAACTGTTTGGTAGGATAAGTGGTGGCAGAGGAGCGGCAAGTGGTGGAAGGAAGTTTCCAGCTGTGTTAGAAGAAAAGTAGATGTGAGACTGTACTGGCAGACAGGTCGTGCAGTGCGGCCTCTTAAAAGCTCTTAGTGCCAGCTGGGAGATGAGACCGCAAGTTTCCCATGTGAGTGACCTAGAATTAAGTTGTTTTCACTAGAAGAGGAGCTTAGAGGTAGCTTAATGTTTGGTTTGTTATTTTTTTCAGTTGCAAGACAAATTTTTTCACAAGTCAAAGAGTAAAGAAGCAGAAACTTTGAGAAATGGAGAACAGAAAGGAAGGTGAACGTACGCAAGACGTGACAGTATTTATGGCCTTGTTCTCATTAGGTCTTGCTGAGCTTTCTGGATTTTGTTCCAATTCTATAGATATTTATATTTATGCATGACTCACTCCGGGCTTTTCATCAGTGTTGGTATGGTGGAACTGCAGGACAGAACCAAATATTTTACAGAAAGGTGGGGGGTTTTTGGCACTTTGTTTTTTTCAAAGCTTTTTTTCCATGCTCCTTTTTTTTTTTTTTTTTTTTAATTTGCAGCCCATAGCCATGTCTCAGGTGTTAAAGAGCACTTGGTACATGGTGTGCAGCTGGCACTGCACCATCAGCTTTTGCAGCCCAAAAAAAAAAAAGCTTTGTTGGTGTGCCTCAGAAACCAGGGCGAGGGTCCCAGGCTTTGTGACCAGCCAGGGGCCCAGCACAGCACCTGAGGGCTTGTGAGAGCAATTCCTGTGATCCCCTCTGCCTTCTCTGCTCTTTCGGTGAGTGAGCGCAGCTGCCTGCATTCCCAAGGGCCTCTCCCAGACAGGGGCAGGGCAAGGAGAGAAGTTGTGATGTTCCCTGGTGCCCATTGCTTCAGCTAACATCTCCCAGGAGAGCCCACCTTC